GGGGAGGCATAGAAAGCAACCATGGATACCAGAGACAGTGTGGGAGGAGGGTGGGACACAGCAGAGGGTGAGAGAAAGGGACTCAAGGATGGCAAAAATAGCAAAATATACAGAAAACAAGAAATGGAAAATTATTTGTTGATGGTAACACGTATGTTGATGTGCTTGATTGAGCCAATATACAGTGTATTCTGGATGGGAAATCTCATTTTGTATGCTGTAATGATGTATAGTGAATGAATGTAAATAAATAAATTGAAATAAAGTAAATATAAAAAATAAAATGATGTTTCAGGCCATCTCATGATGTGGTAGTTCAGACAGCTGGATCCCATGTGGTCAACTGCATGATTTGAGTCCTGGACCCGGCAGCTTGAAAAACATGTCAGGTGCATGTGTGCCCAAAAGTTGTGGAAGGAGGGAGAGATGAAGGAGAAGGGATTACAGTGTGGCATGCCCCACGTGGGAGGTGCTTTCTCTCTCTCTCTCTCTCTCTCTTTCTCTCTCTCTGGCAAGTATACATGTCAACTGGAAAATTTTTTTCAAGTGATATTTTCTAGTAATGCAGACAGCGGTCTTTCAGCTTACCTTCTGTAGTCTTCAAAGCAGGAAGCAGGCCTCTGTTCTGGAAGCCCATCACAGCTGAAGTGTGTCCAGGTAGTTTCCTCCAGGGGCCCACAGCCTCCTGGTTACCCAGGAATGCTTCCTGTGATCTGGCCGTGCGGTTCAGGCAGGATTCTTAGGACTGTTCAGTGAAATGGGACAGGGACTTGCTTGATATATTTTGCCACCCAAAATACATTTAACTGACTGCTGCTTGGTTCTTTTTATTCTTTCGCGAAGTACATTTGACTGACTGCTGCTTGGTTCTTTTTATTCTTTCAGTTAAGAACTCTCCATATCCCCTACCCTGTTTTTCCTTTGTGTAAGTGAAAAATCCACTTTATTTTTGTTGTTCCACTTAAAAAAATAAAAGAAAGAAAAAAATCCCAGCATTGTCAAAATATTTGCTTAATCTTGCAGATTTGAGAAATTGTGTAGCCGCTCGCTCTGACAGACCAGAACAATGGTCATTAAATGAGAAGCAGATACAATAAAATATGCAGTAGAAGCCTTCCATTACAGCCTGCAAGGGGAAAAAAATTAGTTGTTAACAGAACACAGTAAGCGTTATGGAATAAATCAGAACAAAACCATTCCCAATTACTGTACAAAGATAATTAAAGTCTACAACACTAATTAAGGTCTGTTTATATCTATTTCTGTTTGTGTACAAACATATGCACATAGTTAAATATTTTCTATTGTTTTTTATGCAGTTCTAACTTCAGAGTTGAATTTTTCTGGATTTAACTTTTGTTTTTCTATCACCAGGAAGTACACTTTCCAGAAACTGAAACGCCAGCTTTTCCTCCTTGATTTTACTTTATTTTTCTTGGCTAGCTTCAGAAAATGCTGCAAGTATGTAACACCACTTCCTTGAGTGGAGTTTTTTGGCCTATCATGTTTTTAGTGGGATCATCCAGGGTTTTTTCCCTCCATCTTAAAAATTAAAAAAAAAAAAAAAAAAGAGAGAGAGAGACTTTTCCTTGAACTTGACCAATATGCCAAATTATATTCACACATTAGAGTTAAATAGAATTACAAAATGTCCTTTGGATATGAATCTCAAGTAAATTCAAACTGGAAGAATGAGAAATTGATAAATAATCCTCCCTACTGGCAGTTCCCCAGGGTTTTCTTCACAGACTATAAATATCACATAAATATTCCCTGAACTGTATGCTATAATTTTTTGGATGGATGTCAATGGTTTTTTAAAAAGCATCAACGCTGAGCTGTAATTATCATTCAGAAGTGATCAGCTCAACAATTGCAAAGGCAATAGCTCTCGACGAAGGCCCAGGAATAACCTCTGTGTATGCTGTACTTGACTCAACCTTGTGGACGAGAAAGAAACTTAATTCAAACGTGATGCTGACCATCTATTGAAAATCACTTCATGCCACTAAAAGAATCAAAAATCCCATTTAAAAAAAAATGCTTGATTTTTTTGTTTTGTTTTCCTTCAGACTCACCTACTTTCTCTTTTCCCCCTTACTCCCTCCTGCTAAAGATTGAACACAGCTGCATTTTTTAATAGATTTTTTTTTTTTGGTCATAGGGCAGATGTGCTTCACTGGAGACAGAGGAAAAGTGAAAAAGCACAACCCCATGGGGATGGCCACACCTCAATCTCTTCTCCTTTACTCTCCTTCTGGGATTTTGGGCACACAGCATACACTCCCAGCATTTTTTTCAAGCTACCGGGTATGGGACTCGAATCCCAGTCAGTCATGTGGGAGTCCAGTGCCTTAACCACCATGCTACCTACTGGCCCACATCCAAATTACTTTGATTTCAACACAGGACCTATCTAAGTACGTAGCAGTCCTTTTACTTTTCCACACCAAACCTCACAATGTGTTGTACCTTGTACATGAACAGTGCATCTCCATAGACGAGCCACACTTCATGCACTTGATTGCCACTGGGGGGGGAGACCAGACTGAACACCAGCAAGCGGGCACTACTTGGAGAAGACTCAGTGTTAAATGAACAAAATCCGGAGGCTGACTGTCTTGTGTACATGGCGCGCTATCTAGGTCAGCCTAGAGATGAAGGAAGGCGCGCTCCTAGCTTCTCCTTTGGTTGGCAGTGGATCTAGAGAAAGAAAATGGCAAGAGGTCTTCAAAGTTCTAAGAGTCCGACTGAGAGCGTCACGTTGTTTTCTCAAAACTCCAAATTTTAGGCCCTTGATTTTTGTTTGCATGAGAATTCTTTCTTGTCGGGCTTCATATTTTTATTACAAGCAAGCCAGGACTGAATTGAAAGCATGATTGGGAAGAATTAGTCCTCTCTGGACAAGCTCAGAACCGAAGGAATATTTGGACAAACGGAAAGCTCAGTATGTCTTTCCCTGCTTGCCCGAGGCAGCTCCTGCCTCATCTGAGCCTCACATGGCCCCTCTGCCTTGCATTATACCACAGACTAGAGCCTAAATCTGTTCCAGGCTTAGTGGTCTGCATGCACAGGCTCTGTGGGGTGTAGCCAAAACGGCGTGGATGCAGGCTCTGATAGCCCTCCGTCTGAACAGCTGATGACTGGAAGCAGATTGCCAGTCAAATCTGTTTCCTCCTGAGTAACACAGGAAAGGTAACACCTACCTTGCAGAGCTGTTTGAGAAAGTAGCAAGGAGTGTATAAAGAACCTGGCAAAGGGACCAGCAGATGGCGTAATGGTTATGTCGCTGGACTCCCACGTAGTTGACCATGGTTCAAGTCCTAGACCCCGGCAGGTTAAAACACACCAGGCGCATGTGTGTACGTGCCCAAAATCCTGAGAGGAAAATGGAGAAGAGATGGCAGTGTGGCCATACTTCCTAGAGTGGGGGAGAATTTCCTGCTTTCTGTTACTGTTTCTCTTGTGAGTGTACATGCACTATAGCAAAAATCTCTTTCCCTCCAAACAAAAAAAAAAAAGAGAAAAAAAACCTCCAAACAAAAAAAAAAAAAAAAGAGAAGAACCTGACCAATCATCTCACACATAGTAGGCAGTCAATAAATGATAGGTTTTTATCATAGCATAAACATCATATAAATGTGCAGTACTTAGTTCACCTCCATAGTAAGCTGATTCCTGATTAATTATTGTTCTTCGGGGGTGCTATGTGCAGAAGAATCCCTTTTGTTGCCCTGTGGTCCATGAATGAAATCTCTGTTCCCTGGCTTATGGTCTTATACAGAGGTAATTCTTTTTGAAGCTGGGCAAGGACTAACTGCTGGATGTCTGGACTGTGTTAGAAAGCTCTGTTTGTCAGACTTCCTGGCTGCTTTTTCTTTCTTTTTCTAGAATGACGTTAACTATTGAATGCAAGATATTGGACATTTGGTCCAACTTGGGTGTGTTATTATATAATTAAACCCGTTAGAGTTGTCATCTAAAAGGGAGAGGCAGCCATGTTTTGGTCTACTTTGTTTACCAAATATAGATGAAATTCTTGGTTTTTACTTTTGAGGGGTTTGTGGTCTTTTTGGAAAACAACTTGAAATTATTTCCATTCCCTAATTAATTTTCGAGTTTATATGTTTAGCCAAATCTCACAACGACTCATTCTTATGCCCAGACAGACACCCAGGCACTATTTGTAAGCTTCACTTTCATTTGGGAGGGAGGAGGGGGTCGAAAGGGGAGGAGCTTTTCTCTTCGGGTCAGCA